ACACAAACACACACACACACACACACACACACACACACACACACACACACACACACACACACACACATATGCATTATCCCATCCACACATCCCCCACATACGGTGCCATTATATGCGCATGCTCACAACACACACTTTATTTATTCATCATTTCCTCTACAAAACTAAATTTGAACAAAGATCAAACCCAAGTCACAGAAGACTTGCGAGGCTTTCAAAAATCAGCACAACCAAAGCAATATTCACTGCAGTAAAAACTATAATAACCAGTCTCGTGTGCAGTTTAAAATGCATTTACAGTAAATCATTACACGATTATAGTGGATAAAAGCACATTAATGAGACTCAGCATCCTGTGTGTCAGCTGTTAACTTAACTAAAGCTTCCTTTATCTCAACAGATGCCATAAACAAACTACAGATGAATAAATCATTGCACCTTCACTGATATAGAGACTGAAATTGAATTATTCCAAACTGGAAACGTTCTCTCTGCTGGATCCCGTTAGCTGTCTGCATCATTCAGCTATTAACACTGCTGTAATACAGAGACAGAGCCTTCCCTGGACATTTTAAAAGGTTTTTAAAGGCCTGTGCATGTGGATTGTTTAACAGATTTGTGGAGTCAGACTGAAGACGAATATGAATCACAATCCATTGAAATCTACAGTCAGTTGCAAAACAAAGCATATTAAGAACTGAAGGTCTACGGTGAGTTTGGTGCATAAGATTAAAAGCTGTATGAGGAATTTTTAATTATTTTAATATAGTAATCATTTTTAATAAATAGTCAGAATTGTTTATTTTATTATTTTTGTTTACTTTTTTGCAGATTTGTACTGTAGCGTTAATGCTGACTATCTTAACACTTTCAAGCTATTATAATCAAAGCTTGATTTGGTTAGATTTAGTATTCTCGGCTAAACAAACAGCGCCACCTATCGGCTGGAATCTCAATAATACCGTTATCAAAAAGAGCCAGTCAATAATGTCTGCAGTATATTACACAATGCCAAATATAACCTAGATTACTACTCAAGCTAGAGCAGAAGTGGAACGCATAACGCAAAGAAAGAGAAATTATTTTGAAATAATAAACGTTATTATATGATGTACCTTTGTTTATTGTTGCACTCGTGAAAGTTGTGATGGACTCGTCAGATCGTGTGGAGGTTGGCAGCTCGTTATCACAGAGGAACAGAGAGCGTGAAGGGTCTGGAAAGTACGGTGGCCGAGAAGTGCAAAACAAATCACAATTCTGTAATTTGTTATTTTGTTTTCAGAATTGTGATTTGTTTAGCACTTCTCGGCCACCGTAGGAAAGCGACTCGTGAAGGAAAAACCAAGCAGACGCCACTCGTTCAGGTACTGTAAACGGAGGGAGGGGATTTACACTTGTTTTGAGGTATAAAGATGTATTTCCAGTGTATTTGGAAGTCTTCTTCATCTCCAGATGAGCGATTAACCGTTACTTTGGCGGCAAGCTGAACGTTCAAATTCCTCACTGGCAACCGCCGTATCACAGAAAAACTACATTACAAAACATTACAGTTTTATATTTGTGATCCACTTCATACTATATTCAGCTATGTTTTCATTTCTCCCCGATGGAAGCATTTCCCATGATCCCTTGGGCTTCTATACTCTTTGGTTCAGTCATAAAATGAGCCAGACAGCAGGTGAGTGATGTGTGTAACTTATTTCAAAAAGTGAAATTTTTCACATAGTCTAGATTCATTACATGTAAAGTAAAACATTTCAAACGTTTTAATTTTGATGATTAGAGCTTACAGCTCATGAAAGTCAAAAATCCAGTATCCCAAAATATTAGAATATTTACATCTGAGTTTCATTAAATGACCATCCCTATAAATTCCGGGTATCTTGTTCTTTGAAACCGCAATAATGGGAAGACTGCTGACTTTGATCGTCTTCTGGACCATTGCTTTGACACCCTCCACAAAGAGAGTAAGTCACAGAAGCTCATTCAATGAAATCAAACCACTTCTCATAAAGGACAACAACATGGTCTTCTTTTCAATGAAATACAAATGGTTATATAGGCTAATTATGCATGCTTTATAGCAACTTGTTTACCATATTCTTCATTCTTTCAAGCAGACATATTTATTTCTAGTGATTCAGTCAAGAGCATTGAGTGATTTTCTTTCTTTTGTTGCTTGATTAACATCAATGATTCGGACAATAGCAACTAAATTAGGCTGCTGTCCCTTTAAAACCGAATGCACGGAATGCAATGGATGCAATGTACTGATACACGTTCAGCACTCTGTGCTGCAGTGCCACAAACTGGATGGGATTTTTAGCTGGATTTTTAACTTTCATGAGCTGTAAGCTCTAATCAGCAAAATTAAAACTTTTGAAATGTTTTACTTTACATGCAATTAATGTAGAATATATGGAAGTTTCACTTTTTGAAATGTTAAATGTTACTTTTTCACAATATGCTATTTTTTTTTTAGATGCACCTGTATATGCAAAGACTAGGGACTTTGGTATTCTTAACGTACCCCTCTCAGAAACCTGTGCACATTATTAGAGTGAAAAATAAAAAGAATCTGGAGCATATATGAGCATTTTCAACAGGTGACTTCGCGATGTTAGTGAGGACGTTTGACGCCTTGAAGGTTTGAAATGAAAGCACTTGTTAATTTAGCATCAGTTTCGCAGGCTGCTGGAGTTCATTAGTGTCAAACAGAGCTTGTATATGCAAATCAGACACTTGAATGAATGAATAACATTGCTAATTAACACCTGCTTTGCATTCCTGTGTTCATAAGTCTCATTGAAAATAATTATTGAAAGTTTTTCAGTCATAATCAGTATGGACCCTGCTGAAAAAAACAATAGAACCATCACCGAAAATTCTAATGGTTTCCACTACAAATACCATTACAAACAATCAACTTTTAACCATTAAAACCATTATAAAATGGTTTTCTGTGGTGTGTTTTGGGACATGTTCCATTAGGATTTATTGGTTTTAACAAATCTCCAATAGAAGGCGACAAATTACCAGCAGAGACCCACAGGCATCATTACAGCTTCCATTAAAACCAATACAAGCCCCATTATAACCAGTACAACCATTAGACATGCTGTGATGGTGTCTATTCTTGAAATGATATATGATTGATATCATGATGATTGGCACTTCTCGATCTTATTTGTTTTACATTAGAAGGGATTTTAATATTTAATATTTTTTATACTGTATTTTTTATCGTATCTGTCACTGTATAAATATAAATAAGAAAGCGGTGACATCTACTGGTTGTTTCTGAAATAAATGGAAACGTCCTTTTATTGCGGACACTCATTAAAAATGCATACAACTAAACTCAAAATGTATATAATTCACATTCATTCACATGTAACTGTTTCTCTTTTTAAATCCAGAAATAACCATTTTCACAGGATTTTGATGATTGTTTTTTTTAAGCGTGCTCCCCGTCGCCAGGTGGCGCTGAGCGCGGATGAAGCGCCGTGACGCACATGAGAGACGCATGGACGCTCTCTGAAGTCAAAGCGGCGCTGCATGTGGCAGAAGGATCAGACCGTCATTAAACTCTCTAGTTTACGCATATATCACTATATTAATATTTATTCAGTTGTAATCCCAGGCTGACTGCGCGAACGCTTCGCAGTCATGGTGAAGGAGCAGTTTAGAGAGACGGATGTGGCCAAAAAGATGTAAGTTGGAGTCTTGCATGCAGGGTAAACATGTTTCATCAGAACTTGACACACACATATGCTAGCCTATCTATCAGACTAGCTGACTGTGCATGTGTGTATATGACTGTGTTCATGCATGTAAAAGCTGTACTGATTTATTTATTTATTGCCAAACACCCTAGTTGTTCGGAATTTTGCTTGGTGAGCTCTGTTGTCTGTTTCTCTTGTTGGATCAGAAGTCACATCTGTTTTGGCATTAAGTCAGCAGAGCAGATGAGACAACAGGCTCATATTCAGGTGGTCAGCAAGAACCTGTACAGCCAAGACACCAGCCACACACCGCTGCAGTATGGAGTCCTGGACCACCGCATGGTGACTGACTGAGCAAATATGAATGCTACATTCATAATAAAACAGAAAATGACTTGTTAAGTGATTAACAGAGGCCTAATCATCTCTCTGGTGTTCAGGGAACCAGCGAGAAGGACAGACCGTGTGAGACCTGCGGGAAGAACCTGGCCGACTGTCTCGGTCACTACGGCTATCTGGACCTGGAGCTGCCCTGCTTTCATGTCGGATACTTCAAAGCCATTATTGGGATCCTGCAGGCAAGCACAGAACGTGTCAGAACCGTGTTTCGCAGCAGAGTTGCTGTCAGGGTCAAAATAGCATTTATATTGAAATATGGCCCAGATCTTTGTTTTATATTAATATGCTATATTATTTCAATATATTTATATTCATAAAATTAGGATTTATATTTTGTAATTTGTTATTTTATTTTATTGCCATAATGTAATATATAAATGTAATGTGTGAATAATATAAGATTCTTCAATAACCAGAAATTTTATAATAATATATAATACAGTATGAATCATAATGTAAAATTTATATTTATATATAAATGTTATTAAAAAAAAAAGTTATATTGTTTATATTGTATTGTATTTTATATTAATATTTTATTAAATATATATTTTAAATTATATTGTATTTTATATTAAATGCTATTATTTTTAATGTTGCTATATAATAATAATAATAATATTATTATTATATTAAATGCCACAAAATAGAATAATAATAATAATACAATATAAATCATAAGAATATAAATATTTTTCATCAAATTATATAATTAAAATAATTAATAATTAAATTAAATAATATCAAATTATTACATATTTAATCATTTAAACTGTGTTATGTTATTTTATATTATAGATTTATAATAATATGAATATAGTGCTATAAAAATACAACTATATATTTTCTCAGATTGTTATTACATATTTCTGTCATGGTATATGTTGTATTCTTTTAATACCATATTATTGTAATACCATATACATCTTTATAAATAGAATATACTGATTTTGTATTATATTATTAGTAATGTTCTTTAAATATAGTTTTTGTGTTGTTTATGTTACTGACTTAATTATATTTGTACAATGTGTACAAAAATTGTATATTTGTGTTTATATTTTTGTTCATTCAGATGATCTGTAAGACGTGTTCTCACATCCTTCTCAGCAAAGAGGAAAAGCTTCAGTTTCTGGATTTCTTGCGTAGACCTGGACTGGCGTACCTGCAGAAGCGCGGCCTCAAGAAGAAGATCTCCGACAAATGCAGGAAGAAGACCAAGTGTGTGCATTGCAACGCATTTAATGGTAAAACAACGGATGGATGAATACCGCATTGATTATTTATTATAATGTGATGAAAGTTGCAGTAGCTTGAATTAGTAAATGGCTCATGTCTCTTCAGGCCCTGTGAAGAAATGTGGCTTGCTGAAGATCATTCATGAGAAGTACAAGACCACAAAGAAGGTCGTCGATCCCATGGTGTCAGATTTCCTCCAGTCGTTTGATATCGCCATTGAGCACAATAAAGAAGTGGAGTCACTACTGACCAGAGCACAGGTTAATATCCACCAGTCAGAGCACTGCTGGTGAAATAGTGGTTTCTATGACTCACCCTTATCTGATATAACTTAAAGGTGACATATTATGCCCTTTTTACAATATGTACTATAAGTCTCTGGTGTCCCCAGAATGTGTCTTAAGCTTCAGCTCAAAAGCCTCCACAGATCATTTATTATATAATTCTGAAAATGCCTATTTTGAGTGGAAGCAGAAGCATTCTGTTTTTCAGGCCTGTGTCTTTAAATGCAAATGAGCTGCTGCTCCCCGCCCCCTTTCTAGCATAGAGCTGCGCCTTTACAGCTCGGACTTGCTAAAAACATCTGTTTTGGTTCTGATTATCATGTTTATTGCGCTGAAATCATGCGTTTTAAAGCATATGAGTTTAAACTTCTGATATACGGTTTTCTGAGCGCACACATCCAAAGCGCACGCACAGGGTAGATGCACCGGGGACCTGATTATAGCACTTAAAACCTGGTAAACTCAGATTTTCATGATATGTCACCTTTAAGGTTTGTGAATTTCTTCTTCCCTTGCCATCCAGGAAAACCTCAATCCTCTGGTCGTGTTGAATGTTTTCCGGAGGATTCCAAACGAGGACTTTCCTCTTCTGCTGATGAATCCAGAATCCGGGAAACCCGCTGACCTCATCCTGACACGCCTGTTAGTGCCGCCCCTCTGCATCCGGCCCTCCGTCGTCAGCGACCTCAAATCGGGCACCAATGAGGATGATCTGACCATGAAGTTAACGGAAATCATCTTCCTCAATGATGTCATCAAGAAGGTACTCGGGTCACATGATTAGATTGGTTTGAGATGCCAAACAGCTGAGGAAAATCCAGGTTGCAACTAGGGGCTGAACGACTTCTGATTGTTTTTTTTTAAAGTCAACTTTTATGTGATGAAAGTGATGACGTCATTAATGAACAAATAAGTCTGGAGCTGAGACTCAAACAGCTTGTGCACAGCTATGGCACATGACACAGCGCTGCCCACATGGCTATTGCTCCTATAACAGCTCATTTTTATCAGTTCTTTTGTCTTTGG